TGAGAAAATAGGAGCTTTCTAGACTTGCTCAGAAGGAGGTGATGCTGGGCTCGCTTTCCCTCCGGCCTGATCCTTGGATCGCTAGGTGGAGGTAGAGGAGGTGTTGATGGAGGCAGAACTTCCTGTCTGTCTCACTGCAGCTCAGCGCATTGAGAGATAGCAGCGCACGGAGCGCGCTGCGCATCCATTCATTCAGACCTTGGCTGGAGGATCAGCAGCAAACGCAGGAAACGCGCGGAGAGAAACGGCAGCTGCGCTTTGGGGACGGTTTTTATCCCTCAACTACAAAATCACGCCAACAAGGATTTCTTTTAATCTCTACACACTTCGTTTATTCCAGTTCGTGCTTTTTATTTCATTTTTACTAAAACTCACCTAAACTTGGGTGAAAACGAGTTTCTGTTAATTGCGCGGATGCGTCGAGCGCGCAGCACGTTTCCAGCTTCCAGGGGTGTAGCCGCGGTGTCCACCGTGCGTCTTTACGCTGCTTCAGCCTCCATGTGACTGAGTGATAGCGTGCGTGCTTGCGAGTGAGTGTGTGGCGTGCGTGGCAAAGAGAGGAGGGGGATCAGCAGGAGTAATCAGAAGGATGCTGGAGGGCAATGCCTGCAGAACGAGAGGATGAGATTTGTCGAAAGGCGCTGGAACTGCTCTCCGACCTGTGCTCCAAGGGAGAGGTGCAGGACGACCACTGCCTGGACTTCATCTACTACTTCAGGGACCTGGCCAGACCGCGCTACACGGACTCAGGTCAGAGAACCGTCCCCAGATCAGCCTTGCGTTCAACAAACGAGCTGGTTTGAAGTTTTATTTACGAGACTTTAAACTGCTGTTCAGCGCAGCTGCAGGAGGAAAAGCACTTTCTTTCATCTCAGGCATAAAATATAGATTCAACTACTTTAACATTTTATGCTACTAACTGATATTTGTGCCTTTGACGGGATTTTACAGCAGCAGGTTTCAAATTTTATTGAATTTTTCTGAGTTTGAGTCTAAAAAAATAGAAAAACCTGCTGCAACATCTAAATGTGCAAAGTAGAAAAAAAGATAAAACGCTGGTTGTCAGGGTGCCAAGTTCACTGCAAACACAGGAGGAGTGAGAAGTGTGAGCCTGTTGTTTGAATCCATTAGCACGCAGCATCTCAGGTGTGTGCACGCGCGCGCGTGTGTGTGTGGCAGGAGGAGCTGCTCTTCACACAGATTAAACAGAAGTGCTCGTTTGTCTTTCTACTCAGCCAGCCAGGGAAGAAACAGCCCCACCCGATATACTAGTGACCACACACACACACACACACACACACACACACACACACACACACACACACACACACACACACACACACACACACACACACACACACACACACACACACACACACACACACACGAATCTAATGTACAAACAATTCTTTGATCAGTCAAGAACAATTTTACATCAGACATAATAAAATAACTTTGTGTAAACTGCACCAAAAAGATAAAACATGTTGACTCCAAAACGAAATATGAAGTTTTTGGATTCATTAAGACATTTTTCTTTTAGGATGAAATGTTTATTTCCTCGAGTTTGTTCATTCCGATCCACCCGAGGGTCCCAGTTTAGCCGGGTGTGTGGGATCTACAGCAGGCCTACAACTATGTGTTCATTGACATATTCCTATTTATTACATGTGAACAGCAAGGGCCTCTCAGAATGTTACAATCCATTATTAAACATGTATGATGGAGAGAAGGTTCAAGCTAGATTGGCTCCCCAGAGATGCTGTGACCCACTTCCTCTTGTATGTGGGTGCACGCGCGCACACACACACACACACACACACATGCACACTCACGCACATACATGAATGCACACATACACACGCATGAACACATGCACGCACACACACACACACACACACACACACACACACACACACACACACACACACACACACACACACACACACACACACACACACACACACACACACAGTCATACAAACACACACAGTCATACACACACAAACACACATACACACATGTACACATACACACCCACACATATGCACATGCACACATGCATGCATGCACGCACGCACACACACACACATACGCACACACGTACACACACAAATAGGCATGCAAGCGCACACGCATGCACACAAAAACGCATGCACGCACACGCACGCACGCACGCATGCACAAACACACACAGGCACGCACCCACACGCACACACACACAAATACGCATGCACGCACGCACACACGTACATGCATACACGCACATGTGCACCCACACACACACACACACACAGTCATAAAAACACACAGTCATACACACACAAACATACACACACACACACACACAAACACACAAATAAGCATGCACGCACACACACACACACACACACACACACACACACACACACACACACACACACACACACACACACACACACACACACACACACACACACACACACACACACACACACACACACACACACACACACACACACACACACACACACACACACTTTTGTTCAACTCTCCATGCGAGTGTTGTGGTGAGACTGCAGCTGATCTCTGATTCTCAAACCTTTTTTTTCTCATTTATTTTTGCAGCTTAGTCTCCAAAGGCTTCATCCCACTGGGACACACAGACATGGTCCACAGGCAGAACCAGGACCTCAGATGGTTCTGCTCATTATAGGTCCACTCGAGCTCCGGGGTTCTGCACTTTCTGGTTCACGTTGAACAAATATCACCATAAACCAGAGGTTCTCAACGCTGCTTCTAGCATGTTTTCTGGTAAAACATGCTACATGTGGCTACATTTTAGCTCATCCCCACCAGTGTATGAATGTGTGTGTGAATGGGTGAATGACTGATTGTGTTGTAAAGCACCTTGGGGGGTTGCAGGACTCTAGAAGGCGCTATATCAAATACAGGCCATTTACCATTTACCATAAATAACCATGCCGTGGTGACACTGAATGCACCATGGGGTTGTAGCCTTGGCATGAGGTCAGAATGGTCAGTCTTTCTTCAGATCTTACTCAGCCAAGATACGAGCATGACATATGCTGCAGATTTGTTAAACCATCCTTGAGCTAACAACAAATTCAATGTGCATCTAAAAAAAACTCAACCAAACCTTATTCTCACGTTACTCTGTGTTTTAATTAACATTTCTTTTAAAGACTTTCTTGTCCAAGAGAAATGTCACCAACTCTGCATCTGCCAAGGTATGTCCTCAAACGCTCGTGCACGCTCTGTGACTGACATCAGTACGTAAGCAGGTGGCTAATGCTATTGGCTAATGCTGCACGAGGCTCTACAGCAGGGGTCTCCAGCTAAATTTGTTCAAGGTCCAGAGTTGTTTCCAGCAGACACTGAGGATCAGATACTCCTCTAAAATAAAGTTCAATTATTATTCTATCATAATTATTCAGTAACTTAATATTTAAAATGTCCACCCAAATTCATGTCAACACCTAAATCACAGTTCAGGGTAAGGTTATCACTTTTATGGATTTCTAAAATCCGACATAATTCCTGAAAAGCTCTTCTCCCAATGTCCCACTTCCATGGGGAGTACCGCAGGGCTCCATCCTGGGTCCTCTACTCTTTTCAATTTACATGCTACCACTTGGTAAGATTTTAGCAAGTCTCGGGGTTAACTACCACCTTTATGCAGATGACTGCCAGATCTACCTTCAAATCAGCCAACAGCACTCATTTTCTCTGATGTCGGAATGCCTCTCCCAGGTCAGATCCTGGCTTTCTCAAAACTGCCTACGGTTAAATGACAGCAAATCAGATGCCAGACTTTTAGCCCCACTAACATGAATGGTGCTTTAGATGTCTCAACTCTCCCACTCAATCTCAAATCATGTGCCACTAGCCTAGGTGTGAAACTGGATTCTGATCTTTCAATGTCTTCACAAGTCAACGCTACTGTCAAGTCCTGCTTTTTCCAACTCCGCCGCATCACTCGTCTTAAGTCAATCCTCAGACGCCCGGATCTTGAGTCAGTCATTCATGCTTTCATTACTTCACGTCTGGATTATGCAAATTCTGTCCTGATTGGGATTAATGCTTCAGCCCTAAGCAGACTGCAGAAGGTTCAAAATGCCGCGACCAGATTTTTAACCAACACCGACAGACGCATGCACATCACACCTATACTCGCAGATTTACACTGGCTCCCAGTCGAATTTAGGATTAATTTCAAGGTCTTGTTATGTTTACAAGGCTTTGTACTGCCCATCCCCATCCTATCTGACGGACCTGCTGACCCCATATGTTTCCACCCGTGCCCTTCGGTCAGCAGATCATCTGCTGCTTGTTGTTCCGAAGGTTCGGTACAAGTCACGGGGGGAGCGTGCTTTCTCTTATGCAGCCCCAACACTCTGGAACTCTCTGCCCCTCCGTGTGCGTTTCAAGTCGGCCCTGAAAATGCATTTCTTTAGTACTGCCTTCCCTCTGTGACACTTTTCATGAAAGTCCAGCACCGGATTTGATTTTTTAATTCCGTTCTTATGATTCAGTTGCTCACTTTTGGCACCTCGCACCATCTGGTAGCTTATTTGGTTTTATTTGTGCCATTTCAAATGTTTTATCATTCGTCGCATTATTTTATTTTTGACAGTGCTGTTAACTGTTCTCCTATTTTATTGTTTTTAGTAGGAATTTTTATCTCCGACTATTTATGCTTTGTTCTTCTGAATTTTGCCTGTTCTTATCGTGTTTCTTGTTCAAGCATTTGGCTATTTTATGTACAGCACTTTGGTTAGCTGCCATGCTATTTTGAAATGGTGCTTTATAAATAAACACGGTACGGTAAAAGGATGAAAACTACGGATTTCTGCTTTAAACCAAAACACTGTTCTAACTTCAGGCTCTTTCCAGACGGTAAGACGATGCTGTTTCCTTAAACTATTTCATCATCAACACGTTCGTTGACTTGGTTTAGGCTCAGAAATAGATTGTCTCTAAAACAACTGCTTTAGAATAAAGTCATGAGACAGTAGCTGCGTTTACAAACGTCACGCCGGAGTTGCACACTTGCGCAGTGGGCATTATTTTACTCCAAGAATCCAAATGAGTGTGTACACGGCCATCAATCGGAATGATGATCGGACAAAGCCACCTCTCTCAATCAGAATGGAATTTCGTTCCGATCGGCCCGTATCAGATCGGAATATTTTGATCGACATGTTTACATTAACTATTTCAGATCTGATTGGGCATTATTCAGATTACTTGTGCCCATGTAAACGTAGCTAACAGGACTGGCCTGGTGGCGTGTAAAAAGGTGGAATCTAAAGGATAATGAACCGAGGATATTTGCGACGAACTAAAACCGTGACGATCGGTGGCGAGTTTGGAGCGAATCACCGTTCGTACCCTGAAGAGCCCGTTATGTGCTTCTGATGGTAAACATCAGGCTGCTCATGAAATTGTCCTCCTCATGTCACACTACTTTATGTGAACGGCCAGTTTCCCAACGAACCTGCAGGACGCCACCGGCTGAGCTCTAAACTGGTCACACGATTCACAAAGCCTGACATCATTGGCAGTTTTACCCAGAAAGCACCATTTCACTGCTAAACCAGGAGCGTTCGGGGATATTTTCAGTAGGAGCGTGAGGTTTCTAGTCATGTTGTGTTTGTATTTTTAGGAACAGATTGATTTTAGGAGATCATTAACACTAAACAACCTTTAGCCACTAATTTGTACTTGTCTAATTATCCCTGTAAACC